CAATTGGTATGCTTCCCTTATTATCTGTCTTTCTCCCGCCATGATAACACAGTTATAATGAATGAGGGAAAGGGACTTCTTTTGTTCTCTGATGTAACCTGGACATCTAGAATAACATCAAATACATAGAAGATGCAGCATAAATATTCGCTAGAGTGCAGTGTACACCTGTGTACAGTTCATTCATTTAGTGCACACTGAACCTTCGTGCCCCACGCACCCCTAAAATCCAGAGCAACAGAACACCTTCCTCTATGCCCCAGTGCAAGGGCTCAGGAAAGGAGTCAGAAGCTGGTGTTAAGGACATCTTCAGTGTCACAGACTTCAGTGATGGTATGAAGTCCCCAGAGTCCCCATACAGGCAGGCATGGTAGGAAGAAGGGAATGTGATTCTAGTGGCAGCTGAAACATGAAGGTCCCCACATTCCCAGGCCTAAAAGAGCCACCTTGTTCTGGGGTTTTCATGTCAGTGCCCCTAGCCCAGCCACCCCCTTGCAGCTACAAGCCACTCCCCTCTCAAGGCCACTATTGACAAGGCCGACGCCACCAGGCCTCATAGTGAGGCTGGCGGCTCCCCACGAAGCGAGTTCCATACATATTTTTGGGCTGCAGTCAGCCAGTTCTGGGCGCTGGGCAGCTGGCCCCAGCCAAGCCCTGGGAGCAGGAGGGGTAGCAGGGCCACAGAGGCCAAGGCCCATTCTAGGGCAGCATTCCAGTGGGGACCTTAAGTTCAGCCTCCCCCTCCCACCAGGGCAGGAGTGAAATGGGGAAGATCAGTGGACTTCCATCAGGACAGGGACACAGACTCTCAGGATGCTGCTAGAGAGCGAGTCACACTCCTTTTTCCCTTGGTCTGATTTGTGCAGCTAGGATTGGACTGGGAGTAGGGTGGCAACAGGCCAAGGCTGGGAGCCCAGCTTTTAGTTCCCAAGTCCCTGAGGGTCCAGAACTCACAGGTCTGGCCTCCAAGTCCATCTGATTCAACACCCAGATCTTTCCACATCCTTAGCAGCGCTCCTTCCCAACCCCAGCCTCTCACCCCAAGCCAGGAAAGCCAGAGACCTCAGCAGATACACCCAGCACCTGAAGCCCCCAGGGAGAGCTGGGAGGAAGGGGGGACAGTGGGGCCAGAGGCAGAGGCCCCTCACATCACACAGACCCCAACCCACTGATACTCCAAAGCCCCTGAAATCATCCAACTGTCAGTACAGGCCCAGAGAGTGTCTGATCAGGAAATTAAAGAACAAATCTACAAATGATCAACCCAGAGTCCAGCTCTAGAGTTCCAGCTTCCTGGAGTTCCTCCCGCATCTGCAGGAAGTCCCACATCACCAAGCCACACCCATCTCAGGCCTCAGACCCTCAGTATTCCTTGCCTAGGGTAGTCCTGTGCTGCCTCTGGCCTAACCTAAGAGCTCTTGAAAGTTTGTTTGGAGGTTCTAGCAGGGCAAGGCAGCTACTCATATACCCTTGACTGAAGACAAGTCCTCCTCTATCAAGGATGGTCATCCTCTTTGACCAAACATTCAGCTTTGGGAAGAATGCACATGGATTGGTAAGGGAGGAAGAGAATACCTACCTAGCCAGCCAGATCAGCCACGTCAACCCTGGTGATCAATGGGGTAATGGATGTTGCAGCCAGAGTGCCCTCACATCCCTAAGAGTTCTTAAGTCAACTGCTGGTTATAGGCAGGTGGGAAAGTAGGTGGGAAAGTAGCTCAGTCAGGGGAACTTCAAGGTACAAATTTCCTAACTCCTGAGTATTGCAAGTCTGGGAGCCACTCTAGTAACTATGGCTTTAATATAGTCAGTAGACATAGTTACTGAGCACTTACTACCTGTCAAATGCTAGAGATGCGAGTGAGCAGGAGCAGGTTAAGGCCTTGCTTGTGTGGAGCTTACCCTAGGCAGAGGATGCGATAAACAAATGAGTAAACATGTGTCAGATAATAAGAAAAAAGAAAGCAGTAGGGCCCAGTGAACACTAATATAACACATGACTAGCAGGTAAGTGCTAGGTTCCATCCCCAGCACAGAGGGGTGAGGGCGGGGACACAGAATGATGGGTAACTGAATAGCTGGGACCTGAAGGAAAGGAAACAGAGGGGCACGTGTTCCAAGCTCAGGGAACAGCAGGCACAAAGACCCTGAGATGTGTAGTTCAAGAGACAAAGATGGGTATAGCTGGCAATGCTAAAGAGGAAAGACAGCAGAAGACAAGTTCATGCAGGAGGGGGATAGCCAGACCTCTGTCCCGGGGCCTTGTGGGCTATATGAAGTCAGAGGCTTGGAAATGGTTCTCAGCAACACAGAGTAGTGATGAGCAGGCAGTGCAGATTTGCTGAAAAACAGGCCACCCAGCCGACAGTGGACCCTGACTAAATACATACTACCTGGCCTGACACCCAAGATCTCCCTCCCCACCATTGTATCCACCCATCCTCTGAGCCCTGAACCCAGTCACCTTCTGTCACCTTTTTTCAACTGTCTCACAAGGCAGGGCCTCTGGCCCACAGATCCTGACTTGCCTGTACTCAGACTGAGAACAGGCCCGGGCCAAACCAGACAAGGCCAGGATAGCTCCTCAGACAAGGGGAGCTCAGCCTAAGAGAGGATGGTGGATGGACCTGTAGCCCTCCCTCCTTCCTGAATCCCTGAAGCACTCACACAACCCCATCCTGTCCCTATGGCAAGTCTAGAGCAAGAAGGATCTCACAGGGTGGAGAGGTTGGGGGAGGGGGGGACAGGGCAGCAGCTGTGTAGAGGGGAGGGCTGAGGTCACATCAGGAAGGGGAGGATCTCTAGCTCTCCCCAGCAACCTCCCCTGCTAGGAAATCCAGGGAGGCAGGAAACAGGTATCTCAAGCGACTTCCCTCCTAAGCACAGTCATCCCTACCAGGGCCTCTGAAGACTCTTGACCCCTGCAGGACTGGCCCAAGAAAGGAAGGGCTAAGGCCCAGCAGGAAGAAAAGGGTCAGCTGGCCAGAGCAGGCCCTGAGTCACGCAGACCCAGCCCCCTCACCCAACAATTCTTCCCACTCCCCAGAACCAAAATTACTCCCACGTATAATCGCATAATCACAGACCGCTGTTCCTCCTGTCCCTGCCCCTTGTCTGCTGCCCCTAGTGAGGCCTGGGTTCCCACAGGCCCAGCTTAACCTGTGTCCCACTCTCCCCCACTTGGAGGAGCAAGAGCCTCCTGGAAGTGAACAGAAGGGCAGAAGAGACCAAGTTCAAGGAAGATCCCAAGGCTTGTTGGAATAACTGACGGCAAACCTGATCTTATTCAAGACTCACAGGATTCAGAAGCTCTAGAATCCCACAGCTTGACCCACCAGCCTGTGGGTTCCAGGAAAGCACAGAAAGGCCTGTTCAGCCACAACCATCTGCTGGTGCACACAGTAGGTACTTGGCTAATATTTACTCAATGAATGAACGCCTAGATTCCCAGTGCTGGCCAATGAAGATTTGTTAAATGAACAAGTGAATGAGATGATCAGCCCTATTTGGAGAACTTCTGTGGAATTCCTCAGGCCCACAGCAAACAGCTCCACCCACCACTCCTGCCATTATGCAGCCCTTACACAGAGTAGCCCCTCATCAAAGGGCTGGGGGAGTTTGGGAAAGATTGCTGGGCTGAGAAGACATTCAAGGTCTAGGTCAAGGCTGGGAGCTACAATTCAGATTGACTGGGAAGCAAGTGCCAAGCTCAGCCGGCTGTATTGGGATAAATTAAGAAGCCAGATAAATTAAGAGACTGCCTAGATTTGGGGAGGGAGGGCTGGCTGGGTGGGGCTGGCTCAATGAGGGGGTCAGGTCTCGGTGTGTGTGTGGTGGGGGTTAACAAGTGACTCAGGAGGGCAGAGGTGAGTGAGAGCCAGCAAGGCAAAGACAGAGAATCAGTCACTAGGTAAACACTGACCTGGTTGGAAAAGTCACTCTCTTGGCTCAGACAGAAGGGGACTGTCTAGGAGCACTTCTAGTAGAGGGTGGAGGGACTCTGCAGCTCACCACCTCGGGGGCTACATGCCCCACCCTCCTCTGCCACCCTCGGCCTTCCCACCCACCCCACCTAGGAGGTCACTCGGGTCCTCCAGGCCTCTCATACCAAGTGTCTTCTAGGCCTCGGGATTCCTGACCCAGGACTTCTCTTCTCCCCACTGTAGCCCATCCCAGGCCTGAGCATGGGGCTGGATGGCAGGCACAGGCTGCTTCCTCCCCTTCCCTTCCCCCCTCCCTGTCCTCAACCTTGGAAACCTGGGGAAAAGAAAGTTGGAGAAACTTCCTTCAACTGCCTGACCACCACTAACAGGCCCTGAACCCAGCACTAATTCAATTCAAGCCGCCAACTACCCTGGAGCTCCGAATTTTGAGATGCCTTTGCCCACGTGTGGCTGGCCTGGAAGAGGTTAACTAGCTCACTCAAGGCCACGGATTCGCAGGTGAAGGGCAGGAACGGGTTGAGCTCCAGGGCTGTCTGACTCCCGGGTCCAGGGATGTTCCATAAAAGCCCCAGTTTCGTTCAAGTTTTTACTTGTGCTTGTCTGGTGACAAGCTCCCCAAGGGGGACAGCGGCGTGGTCAAGTTCCAGCGAGGGCTGACAAGATCGCCATCCCTCTGAGTGCCGCTTCTGCCAAGTTGGCACAGACGGGGGTACCCTGGCCCTGCCAAGGTCCCACCCTGCTCGAACTTTCTTCTTCTGGTCCTCAGGAATGGCAGCCCGGGCCATGCCCAGCACGACTCTTGCCTCCGAAACGTGGCCCAGAGACCCACGCCACTCCATGCGGGCCGGTCCAGCCCCGGGCCCCAGGTAGGGTCCCTCCCGGGCGTTCCCTGGGACCAACCCCACGCCACACGGTGGCGCCGGCCTGCCTGTGCCTGCCCGGGGTCCTCGGCGGGCGCTGCGGTCCCGGGCCACCGTCCCAGGCGCGCAGCCTCCAGAGCCCAGCCAAGTTGGCGGGCGTCCCCCCGCCCCCGCGCCCTCCGTCCCCCACACTCACCGCGAGCAGCCGCCCGTGCAGCAGCAGCGCCAGCAGCAGCGCGCCCGCCGCCCGCCACCCCATGGCCCGGCCTCGCTCGCTGGCTCGTTCAGCTCCGCTCGGCGCCGCGCGCAGCCGCCCGCTCGCTGTCCTGCAGAGTTCTCGGGCCCGCGGGGCCCGCTCACCGCGCCCCCGCCCCTCCCCGCCCCTCCCCGCCCCGCCCCTCCCCGCCCCGCCCCCAGGCCTCCCGTCCCGCCCCCGCGGCGCCCAGTCCCAAAGCCCTGGGCCCCGCCCCCTCTTCCCGGTCCCACCCGCACGAATCCAGGCCACGCCCCCGGTCAGCCGCTACGCCCCCGGTCAGCGGCCACGCCCCCAGCCCTTTCCAGCTCGCCCCGCCCCGCCCCCACCGAGCTCCTGCCCCGCCTTCTCAGGCCCAAGCCCCGCCCCCGAGAGCCAGGTTCCAGACCACCAGGCTCCTCCCCTCGAATTTTCGCCACGCCCCTCGGCTCAGGCCACGCCCACGAACTTCGGGCTGGGCTCTCTAAAGCCGGCCGCGGCGCAGCAGACTGGGCCTTTGTTCGGGTCCCCAACCCCCTCCGCGGGAGCAGCAGCCTGGCATGTGGGTTGAGACTAGGCCCGGGCTGTCAGCTCCAGCTGGACCCCAAGCACAAAGCGTGGCCCCCCAACTTTCACACTCCTGAAACCGCTCCCCCACGCCTGCACGCGAGCGGGAAGATTTCCAGGACCCCCTTTCAGACGCAGGCTGGACGCCCTTCCCCACTTTGACTCACAAGGACAGTCCCGCTGGGCAATCTTTGCATCTGTTTTAATTGTGTGCTCTGTTGGGTACCAGCTTCAACTTTGTTTCTTAGTGTAACTTTTTGTCGTGCTGGGGATTAATCTCGTGCAAGGCCAGACCCGTGTCCTACATGGAGCCAAATCCCCAGCCCCCACACTCAGCTTTCCTCCTCCGAAAGCCTGCCTCCTCCAGGAGCAAGTTCACATCCCTGCAACCAAACTTCTTCCAAGGACACCGAGGGCACCTCCAAATCTTCACGATCTTCACACACACTCTGCTGCTCACCTACTCAATGTCCCAACAAGCCACAAAGCATAGACAGGTGATTTCACACACATACATTGTCCACACACTTACAAGTCACATGCTAGACCACTTTATAGAGTTTACATTTTCACTTCTTACTTTCTCTCTCCTTCCTTCCTTCCTTCCTTCCTTCCTTCCTTCCTTCCTTCCTTCCTTCCTTTCTTTCTTCTTTCTGCTGGTACTGGGGCTTGAACTCAGGGCCTAGGCTCTGTATCTTAGCCTTTTTCACTTAAAGATGGGGCTCTACCACTTGAGCCACAGCTCCACTTCCTGCTTTTGGGTGATTAATTGGAGATAAGAGTCTCAGGGACTTTCCTGCCCTGGCTAGCTTAGAACCATGATCCTCAGATCTCAGCTTCCCGAGTAGCTAGGATTACAGGTGTGAGCCACTGGCGCTTGGCTATGTCTTTCTTACCCACTAATGTCATTGCCTCCACTCTGTACTCAACAGTTGTCCTCCTAGCCCTGCTCCATGTCCTACTGGTCACAGCCTTAGAGCCAGAGGCATATAAGCTCTAGTTCCCAGCCTTGTCATAGACCCTGCCAACGCATTGCAGATCTTCCTGTGGTAAATCACAGCTGATGATCCACCATTGACACAGTGGACAGGAAGTCACAACAGCCTGGGGGCCTTTCCACTGCCTGTACCCAAGTCTGATCTTCTGCCTGAAAATTTCCAGGCAGCCCCCAAGCTAATAAGTGAAGGTAAAATGTGTATGTGTGCATGTGAGTACATGCCTGCGTGCATGCACGTGTGTGTGTGTGTGTGTGTGTGTGTGTGTGTGTGTGTGTGGCTTTAAGAGAAAACTTTTGAGTAATGATAGAGGGAGGAAAATAAAAACCCAAGTTTCCATTGTTTTACCGAGAGTTGCTAGGTTCCAGAGACTCCTGGCTAGATTGGCGGCCAGAAGTGAGGTGGGCTGTGGACAAAAGGAAATGCCCAGCTCACTGGGCGGCACCAAGCTTGGCTGCGGAAGGCATGCTCTCTGTGATAGGGGCCAGGCACTTGGGGGATTGGGAATACACTGACTCCCAGCCCCATAGATGCTCAGTTCTAAAGGAGTGGGTGGTTCTCCGCTCTGTGGGTGTATTTCTGGGGGAGGAACTCAAAGCTGTGAGGAGCAGAAACTGCATCCAGAGTGGTTTGGTCAGCTCCCTGGCCTTGACCCAGACTCTAAGCACTGCACCGAATAAGGTCTGTCTCTTGCTCTAGGCAGGAAATTGGGGCTGGCAGAGATAGCATGGCCAATGGTCACCCTCCTAGAGTCTAATCTGATAGAGGGAATCTGGAGGAGGACATAGCCCCTGGCCTCATGTAGTTCTCAGTCTAACAGAATCCTGCCTCTGCCATCAGTCTGTGCAAGACCAGATAAAATAATCAACTTCCATGCCCCAGTCTCCTCAGGAACATATGGAGATACTCTGTGTGTTGTGTGTGTCCCCATGTATGCACGTGTAAGAACCCAGGACCTTTTGCGCTTGCTTGGCTTTCTCTACTCTATTACTTGAGCCACAGTTCCTCGTCAGGCTTTTTGGTGGTTAATTGGAAATAAGAGTCACAGACTTTCCTACCCCACTTTCTTGCTGGCTTGGAACCACAATCCTCAGATCTCAGTCTCCTGATAAGCAAGGATTACTTGTGTGAGACAGAGGATGAGAAACATTATGGTAAGCACTCAATAGGTGGTGGCTATTCCCTTGTTACTATTCTTGTTGTTGTTATTGTTGCTGCTTTTTGTTTGTTTGCTTTAGTGAGCTGTTTTTTGTTTTCTTTTGTTTTGAGGCAGCATCTCACTATACAGTGCAGGGGCTGACTCCAAACCCATCACCCTCCTGCCTCAGCCTCCCAAAGGCTAGGGTTACATGTATGCACCACCACACCTGCCTTCTTGTGATTTCTAGGTGCACTGCCAATCTAAGAGAGAAACAAGTTTATCCTCAGGAAGCTCAAGTCCGGTGGCCAAGCGGCCTCAGCATCCAACCTGTTGTTTCCTGTCCAATGGTGAAACACAGCTCCCACCTCAGGATTTCCCCCAGCCTGATGGGGGAGTTCAGCCGTGGGCTGCTCAGGAACTCCCTGTCTGATGAAAAAGGCTTCAAAACCCTGCTGACTTCAGAGTTGGCAAGTAGCCAGCCTAGTGGCAGGATTTTTCCAAGGCCTTGCCTATGTGTGGAGGGTTAGTATCATGACAAATCCCATTTCATGTCTGTTCTCTACCTCAGGCCATTTAAGGCGCAGAGATTTGGCTTTTTTGGGGGGGGGGGGCGGTGAAGGGGGTATGGTTTGCTCATGAGCAAAGGAAAGAGAAGAACAAGCAATCCTTTGTAGATATTTGGTCCAAGATTAATCAAGCCCTAGTAGGTCTTGCTTTCTAAAAGAGCTTGAGGAAAGCTGTCTGGGGTCTGAAGAAAGCCTGGCTGACCCAGAGAGCAGGAATATATGGCTTGTCTAGTAAGCCCTCCAGAAAAGCCCCACCCACATGGGGACTGGTCATCCACCTATTTAGTCTCTGTTCTCTCCATCCACTGAGAGATTTGGCTGGCTAAATTGTATTTTGCATGCTGAGTATTTTTAATAAATGCTCTCAGGTTGCCCTGCCTAAGACCCAGCTGTCTTATCACATAGCTTAGAAAAGGAGCAAAGCAGAGCCTTCTAGGCTGTTCTGAACCTACCAGGCAACTGTAACTGCACGGCATGTATCTGTGGCTTAGAGATCTTTCAACAGGAGCTACTTAAGCAGCTGAGGTTCCTTAGGTGAGGGGGAACTACAAGAAATTGGAGAGGCAGACAGGCACTAGTGGCTCATATCTAAAATCTTAGCTACTCAAGAGGCTGAGAGCTGAGGATCCTGGTTTGAAGCCACCCCTGGCAGAAAAGTTTGTGAGACTTTTTTTTTTTTTTCAGTTGTGAGGCTTGAACTCTGGGCCCGGGAACTGTCCCTGAGGCTCTTTGTGCTCAAGGCTAGCGCTCTACCACTTGAGCCACAGCCCCACTTTCGGTTTTTGAATGCTTAATTGGAGCTAAGAGTCTCACGGGGACTTTTCTACCTGAGCTGGCTTCAAACCATGATCTCAGATCTCAGCCTCCTAAGTAGCTAGGATTACAGGTTTGGGTCACTAGTGCCCAGCCACTGAGACTCTTATCTCCAATTAACTACCAAAATCAAAACAAAACAAAACAAAAAAATCAGAAGAGCTGTGAGCCAAGGTCTAGCCTTGAGCAAAAAAGCTAAGAAATAGTGCCCGGGCCCTGAGTTCAAGCTCTAGGATCTGCACAAAAGAAAAAAAAAGAAGGAAGGAAGGAAGGAAGGGAAGGAGGGAAGGAAGGGAGGGCTGGGAATATGGCTTACTAGTAGAGTGTTTACTTAGTATGCATGAGCCCTGGGTTTAATTCGTTTTAACTCAGTACCACATAAACAGAAAAAGCTGGAAGTGGTGCTGTGGCTCAAGTGGTAGAGTGCTAGCCTTGAGCACAGAGAAGCTCAGGGACAGTGTCCAGGCCATGAGTTTAAGCCCCAGGACTGGCAAAGAAAGAAAGAAAAAGAAAAAAGAAAGAGAGAAAAAGGAAGAAAGAAAGAGAGAAAGGGGAGAAAAAGAGAGAAAGAAAAAGAGAGAGAAAGAAAGAAAGCCCCAAATTTGCAGGACAGCTATTTTCTCCTTAGTTCTCCTATTCTATGTCTTTTCTCTGTCTCAGAGCTACTCATTTATTCATATTTTTGCTCATTCATTCATTCATTCATTCAAGACAGCAGTGGAGAGTAGAGGAGGTTGTCCACTGAGTAAGGATGTACCAAGCACATCCCAAGATGGGAGCTGTAATGTGTCACGCTGTGGGATACATCTGCCTTTCAGTAGTATGAGCAAGGGCACAGTATGGGCGGCTGTACCCGGCATTCTTTCAGTATTGAGTCAGTAGTCATTGTTTCCACATCTATGTAGTCAGTTGTGCTGGCAGAGTGACGATACATCTTTGGAGCTGTGGATGTGAAAGGGAGC